AATAAAATTTCATATATTACGAGTCACAAACTTGTGTGAATATTTTAAGATAAGCTCTTGTCACTTAAATTTCATATCTTAAAAGTCACAAACTCATGTGAATATCTTTAAGATAAGCTCTTATCAATTAAATTTCATATATTACGAATCAAAAACTTATGTGAATATCTTAAGATGAGCTCTTGTCATGAATAGATGAATATTCTTGTTTGCTTTGTGCTCCTGCTGGAGTTTGCTTGGAATAAATATAAGCTTACAAAGGTGATCAACAAGTTTTAGATCCTCTAATTTAAGAAGGAAAGAAAAATAATGTGTGGTTTTGCCTTATAGGTAGATCAGAGTGAGATGGGACAACAAGCTATACAATCTGAATTGATAGTTAAAGATGGAGATATAGCTTCGTATAAAACAGAGATAAAACATCTAGAGATATCTAATAAACAATTAGAAACTGAACTCAACCATCATAAATGTAGAATAGAGGAACTGAATACTGAACTACGTAATGTAACTAATATAAAATCATTATTAGAGAATCAACTTACTCAAGAGAAACATTCCGTAAGTTTTAATCAAGCTGTTGAAAATCAAAAATGGGTAGATCGATACCACTTTCCTGGCAAAATTTCTCCTTATTGCATACTGCGTGGCATTGCCCATCCTCATAATTCCAGAGAGGTACAGAAAAGTAGGACGTTACACTTCCTTTCCTTTCAGTTCACTCCCTTATTCACTTATTCATTCTTTCACTTATTCATCCATTCTTTCATTCATTCATTCTTTCACTTATTCATTCATTCTTTCACTTATTCATTCAATCATTCAATCACTCATTCATTCTTTCACTTATTCATTCATTCTTTCTTTCACTTATTCGTTCATTCATTCATTCACTTATTCATTCATTCATTCACTCACTTATTCTTTCATTCATTCATTCATTCTGTATTGAAATAGGTAGAGAAAGAGAAATCATTAAATGATAAGAAGAAAGAAGAAGTACATGAAGCTAAACAAAGAGTAGATGCTATCAAACATGAACAAACATTTTTATTAACTGCTTTACAAGAAGAGAGAGTAGATAAACAACAATTAACAGTAAGTTATTATTTGCAAATATTCTCATGAGCCAAAAGAGCCATTCAATAATAAAAAAAAAAGGCTTCCGGATTGATTCTTTACCAGTGATCCATAGTGTATAGTGTGTCTTTTTGAATATTCCTCAAACAATGCTCATTTGAAAAAATATTCAGTTCAGTTGTACTTTGTTGGATTTTGTTTGTATTAAGTGAATAACACCCATAGTGGGCTAACTCAGTTGCTGGCTGAACAAAAAATTCTG